TTCTCCTCCCCCCTTACTGCCTCATCTTTCGAGCGCTCACTCGAGCTTCTCTCCCCGCACTCTCCCCCTACTACGCTCTGCTGTCCTCTACGCTCGGCCCCCGACCAACCAAGGAACAAATTGCGCTCCGGAATGAATGAATTCCGCGCGAGCCTTGATATTGTATGGGCCGGCCGGCGTGAGGAGTCGTCGTCGCGCTATGAAACACAAGGCTCGGGCGGCGACGCGCAGCTCCTGATCTCCGTGGAACGCTCCGCGAAGTAAAAGGAGCGCGCGGCGCGGGGGAGGTCGTCCGTAACGGAGAGCCGCTCACGCCCTGAAAAAAATCGTTTCTTTGAAAAGACCTGATGTAATGTTTCTCTTGTTCACGGGAATTCACTTTGATTAACGACAAAAATCTCTTGGGTTTAAAATATTTCTTTTCGGACATGAACACATTCTTAAATTTATATTCATACAAGGGGAATTGCCTGGATTCAAGGCCAACTTCAAGCAAAGTTCTTGTTTCAAGGGAACGATTTTCCGGGTCGACGCGCTACAACTTTCTGTGCGGCGTGATGACAAGTAGCCGGCTCCTCACGATTCGTACCTTTGTTTGCGCCGTCGCTTTGAGAGCCAACGTCCCTGGGACCAGCTGTGTCCATCGCTGGGCAACGCAAAAGCCTCTGACCGATGTGTTTGTCCCACCTGGGGTCCTGCCGCCGCCGCCGCCGCCGCCGCTGCTGCCGCTGCTGCCACCGCCGACGCTTGCTGCCATCCATCTTCTCTTATCGTCTGTCCGTCTGTCTTCCTCCATATCGAACAGGCTCGACTGGTACACAACAGCTGCCACACTGCTTTGCTGTGAAATATTTGGAATTACTCAACGATTTAGATTTAGAAAACTTCGCATAATAAAGAAAATGAAATCAAGTTAATCACATGGGTGCATTTTTCACGTTTTGCAATACCCCTTTTCTCGGCCTTGCCCGCCGGCCTGCCAAACGGGGTGCCGCAAATTCTTGTGTGGGGGTGCACGACGGTGCCTCCGATCAGCGCCTTCTGAGACGCGAAAAAAATTCCGGTCAAACACCTTCTTTTTTACGAGCTACTTAACCCATCCTGCGTCTGACATTGGAGGTTTACGGGCAATTTGCATCCCTCTACCATTCTCTCTCTCTCTCTCTCTCTCTCTCTCTCTCTCTCTCTCTCTCTCTCTCTCTCTCTCCCCTCCCTCTTTCCTAGCCCGCGTCTACTTTCCCAGCTGCGCAACGCTCCACCACAATTCAGGATGGAGGCAGCTGCACGCTCCCCGTTTCCCTCTGGCTATGGACGACAGAGAGTACCCATCGATCCAAATACTTTCCGTCATGTCACAAATTGGTTTGGCTGTTGACTGAGCGACGGCGTCGCCTGTTACTCCACTGACAGTAAAAAAAGGCTTGGGGCGAGGCTTTTAGGGCTGGCACTACTCAAAGCCACTTTAATTTAAATTGAAAAGCAGGGCAGGGAATTCAGTTGAGTTTCAACTGTTTAAACCAGCAGGGCACCAGCACACAGGTGGGATCATCTGTTTTATTTGTCTTTTAAAGAAGTACGTAAATATATTGTATGCGAAATGTGGTGGAGCCCGTTAGTCGAGAACTGGTCTGACGCACGTATCTTTTTAGTACTGAGCTACGCTACGTTAAACCGTCGTGCACACACTTGCGTGTGTGGCGAAATTGGGGTTGCCAGGGGAGCCCCCGCAAGTTGGCCCCCTCTGGGACCTGCCTGGCTGCCTGCATATTCCCCGGTGGTACACACACGGCGCCGCAGGCTGAGTGCGGAAGCATGTCTGTCCAAATCCGAAAGGGTGTTCAGGGGCGTCCAAGGGAAGGGGTGCGCAGCTAACCCTGG